TGGTGCCATTGTGTCTCTTGGGGGAGATATGTGTGCCCAAAAGATCCAAAAGGAGTCCTTAGCCTAAGTAGATGTTTATGCAGACGTTTCTTAAAATTATAATAAGCCATGTATCTGTTACAGTGTGATTAATTTTGAGCATTGAGTGCATTTGAGACAGAATAAGCTTATCAGGAAAATATTACTGTTTGTTTACATATAAGGAAAAGTTTTTCAAAAGCAAGCATGAGTTGATTCTTTAAGTTGGAACTATACCACAGATTGCTCCATTAATCATATACCTTTCTGGAGAAATGTTTTTGTCAGTTTAAAAAATGGATAATGGAGTGATTTCCTTCATTCTTAATTGTAGTTTCCCTGTGGATATATTAAAATTCTTTTGAAATAAATCATATGTTCTTACTAAGTCCAAGTTTTGCATCTGATAATGTGATATGTACCATTGGGCTCATCACTGCAATGTCACAATATTGTTTTCCATTTTTATTTGAATGTAAATGACTAAATGAGGAGCAATGAGCTTTCAAATTGCTAAGGTCATTTCTCTGTGACCTTACTAGATGACTTTGACAAGTGTTAAAACTGTGATGAAAGAAAATAAACAACAGTATCACAGAACACAAGAACTCTTGATAATTGTGGGTCAGACTTAGAGAATGAGTATCATGCTGTCCCCAAGAAATTTGCCTCTTCATCAGTTCCCTGAAAAAAAGAGTCACACTGTGAAATGCTGGAGACTTGAGATATTCCCATACTGGATGAGAAACATGTTGCAAAGGAGAAATCTCAAACATTTAAAATCTTTCTAATCTATTGAACCATTGTGTTGTGGTTTAGTCCCAGCCAGGAGCTAGGACCACACAGCCGCTTGCTCACTCCCCCCAGTTTGGATGGGGGAGACAATCAGCAGAGGAAGAGTGAGAAAAACCTCATGGGTTGAGATAAAGACAGTTTAATAGGTAGAGCAAAAGCTGCTCACGCAAGCAAAGCAAAACAAGGAATTTATTCAGTGCTTCCCATGGGCAGGCAGGTGTTCAGCCATCCCCAGGAAAGCAGGGCTCCATCACGCACAATGGTTACTTGGGAAGACAAACCCCTAACTCCAAATGTCCCCCTCTTCCTTCTTCTTCCCCCAGCTTTATATACTGATATGTACTATACTATATATAGCCCTTTGGTCAGTTGTGGTCAGCTGTCCTGGCTGTGTCTCCTCCCAACTTCTTGTGCACCCCCAGCCTACTTGTTGGCGGGGCAATATGAGGACCAGAAAAGGCCTTGATTGCTTAGCAATAACTAAAACCAGCGGTGTGCTAGCAAAAGTATTTCTCATCCCAAATCTAAAACATACTGTTATACCACCTGCTAGTAAAAAAGTTAACTCTGTCCCAACTGAAACCACGACATCTTGTCAGGAGCATGCCAACATGCTGCTGGTCTTCCTGTACTGTAAAATTTGTCAGGTATAATACGTTAATGGCTACTACAGTTACTGCTGTGTATAGGTGTGTAAAGAATTTGTGGCATGCCTTAGAAATAAGGGTAATTATTAGACTAGAAATACTGGGATGCAACTACAAGCTATGTGACACAAATAGAAGAATATCAACTATCAACAGGATTAATGATGTTCCATTATAGACAATATAGCCTAATAGCTATATCTTACTCATCAACAGAAAGTAAAATTTCCTAAACAATAACCATTGCTTTAATTAAAATTACTCAGAATTTAGGTTTTGGAGGGGTTTTTTGGTTGTTTTTTTGTGTTTGTTAGTTTGGTTGCTGTTTGTTTCTTTTCTAACTGCAGCTTCTATAGTATCTGTAGTTTTGATGAACATGGTTTGAAGATTTGGGGCTCTTTTACAATGTCTCTTTAGTATCAAATACAACAATTCTTAGTTCGGACAAAACTTACAGGTTAATACAAAGACAGAGATACTTCAGTTTAGCAGATGTTTGTTGTGTGAATAACTTAGGTTGTGAGTAGTCTAACTTTATTGGCCTTGTAACTTTTATACTTTGTACTATGATATACTGCAAAACTCGGATGACTTTAATGCTTGCAAGAATACAAGCTTCTCCTGTAATAATAGTGGTAGAATTTCTTTACTGAGCTATTTAGTGACCTGTTCCTACAAAACTGAAGCTACTGCCCGTTTTAACCAGCTTTCCTCGAAGCTATTTGTATTTGTAGTTACTTTCCACTACAACAAGAAGTTCTGATGCATATGTCACCAATACTTGAAGACATAGCTGTCACATGTCAATGCAGTCACTGTCAAAACATTCCTGTGAATATTAAGAGTAATACAATCTATACAAATCTCTTTGGAAAATAGCTTAGGGCCAAACGTCAGTATGTGGTAGGGAAAACAAATAGTTGTCTTTCTGCAATTGCACAGGTTTAGTCAGAAAAGTGGTTCATAACTCCAGACAGTGTTTGTGCAAAACAATCCTAACCCTGGATGATATTCCGTAGAATTAAAGTTGCTCTAACTGAATGCTTAGCTCAAAGGTAATGAAAACTGTTCTATATTTGACAGGGAATTATATACTGTACATAAAATAACAGCAAAACACCAATAAACAAACCCTCCTTTTCTTGCTTTTCCTAAAATTGGAAATAAAGCTAAATTGCCCCTTCACTCCAATATCCTTTTTAGAAGCTCTTGAATTTTGCTCACTCAGTGGTATATGGCTGAAAAGGCAAAGTCTCTTCCAGTAATTTTAGGAAAAGCTATCATCAAGCTGTCAACAGTCTAAATTGAGATTAAAAGTACCAAAGAGAAACCTCCACCATTATCAGAGTCCCAAATAAGTACACTTGAATAGGCAGATAACATCTAGAGTGTACAGTATGAGACCACTTATTCCTCCAGCTTTTGGACTGATTTACAGGGATGAAGTCTTATGTTAAATAGTGACATTTTTCTTCTTGTCTTACCCAGACAACTCAGAAAGAAAACAGATAGTTGTAAGCAGATGCCTGTTCTTGGAGTTCATTTCAGATGTCCTGTTGCTGGGCGTTAGGGGCATCTGTCTCATCCTCTGAGATGTTATGTACCCTCAGCTCATATTGGTCATCAGAGAGAAGATTTCCAATACTTCATAGTCCAGGGTGGATTGAGCTGCATGTTTACAGTTCACTAAAATCAAAGTCTTATTCACTGTAGCTGAAGGTGAGAATTGTGTCTATAGCATTACCCCTCTGAAAAGGGTATATTATCACTGGTGAGTCAGCGGAAGCAGGATTTTCTAGATTTTTATTCATATCTGATAAGTAGCATCCTTGCTGTTGAGGCAAACCTGTCTCTATTAAGATGTTTGTTTTGATGCATGATGCGTCTTCATGTTGTGACCTGTTTTTTGGTAGAGACAAAAATGGGACTATAACTATAGTCTGACATAGAAACTGACAGCTTGTCTCCAAAAGCAAAAGCTTTGTATACTAATCTACTCAGTCACTTCTTAACATTTTAATATACTATCATCTAGGGGTCCAACAGCTATGACAAAGAAGATTTCTAAGCTGCAGTCTTTAATAAACTTAGTTTTCATTATTGTGGATTTCTGGTTGTTGTTCTTAGGTTTAGTCTGGCAATTAAGATTTGAATTAGTATTAAAGCTTTTTCTTCTCCCAGACATTATAACCCTATTTTACACCTTTATCTTAACCAGAGACTACAAATCTGGTTTTGAATTAATTTCAATTAAAAAAAAAGTTATAAATTTTGAGGATATGATTAATTACAAAATAAGAAGTAAGGTTGACGTGAATTCCTTTGATTGACTTCTGCAGCTTATAAACCAATAAATCATTAGGGAAAAAACTGCATAGAAGATAGCAATTATTTTCTCAAGACTCCTTTTAGTAAATTATCATGAGATTCCAGGAATATTTTAGCTTTTGTATTTCTTCTCTTTATTTGCCTTATCTTTTCTATTAGAAATCATCACGTAACTTTTAGTAAACACTGTCCTTTGTGTCTTCTATTAAAACCCATCATCTTTTTATCTATGTTGCAATGGGTAGATTGTAAACACTCCAGAGCAAACTCTATACCTGAAACTGCACATATAACTACCATGATATCACTCTGTATAACTTAAAATGAATTTTAAAAGCTGTGATGATGATTCATATTCATCAACACAGTCCTTTATTTTCATATCTCGTCCTAATAATGCAACACTGCTGCTCTGTAACTAAAAAGCGAGGTGGTGAATGTGGCTTGTCATGGCTTTATATTGCTCTTTCCTTCAGATGAAACATCCATCTGGTTGAAGGTGAGTTTATTGCAAACTATAGCTCCATAGTCTAAGCTTTTTAAATTGGAATCATAGGATCTTGAAATTTTTGTTTTGGGGAAGGCTTTGAGTTTCCTCTCTTCTCCCTTAACGTTTTGCTTTTAAGGGTTCTGAGCAGGTCGTCTTGGTACTTCTTTAAATGTATTGGACGTGGGTTTTAAGTGTTTATTATTAACAATTCTTTATACTTGCCCACTTTTTTTTGCATTACAGGCATTATAATTTTTAAGAGATTCCTTCATTTAGCTCGCAGGAGAGAGGAATGGCTGAATCATTTTTTTTTTTTTTTTGCTTAGTTTTGCAAAGTATGGCATCTTATCCCAGCTCTCTATTTTCTGTCTCCTTTCTTACATGCGGACTCACCCATAACTTCCTTCAGGTAAATATTAATCTATTTCACGAAGAGGAACATTTTTAACATTGCCTAAAGATTTCCTGATGAAGATGGTAATTTTCGAAGCTGTGGGCTGTATGTTCTTTTAGCAATGATAATCTAATGTTTGTGTAAACTCTTGTGAGTACAGCTACCTTGAAGGATTGCAGGCAGCCTTAACAAAAACAAATTAATCCTCCATGGCTGGTGACTCTGTGCACCTGTAACCACATCACAGAACTTGTCTTGCAGGTGCATCCTCTTTGCGTAATCATTGACTTTTGCTCAGAGTGCTGATAATATTTGTTTTATCACACAGGCCTCCAGTGATGCTGCCTCCACCTCTCCAGAGATGCACTATACACCTCTGCCTTCGGGATCCAGAGACCTCACCAATCACAGAGGTATGAAGCAAACTTTTACTGGTATGAACTGCTGCAAGGCACTAAGTTTTCCTGTAAGGCCTTCTCTGTGTTAGTTACTGCTGCGTTGGCACTTTGCAGAGAACACTGTGCCTTTCAAGCACTAGATGAGAAAACCGTACCGGTCAAGACTACAGATTTGAACTCATATTAAATTGGATTTAAAGGTAGTCTACTGGGAAAGCAAATAAATCTATGGCTAATAACATTCAGTGATGTTTTTGTATGCGTGAGAGGAAAACGTAGAGATTAAGGTACTTAAATATTGCTAAGTAGATGATTACATACAGCTTTGGTAATTTTGAGAGAATTTGTAAACTTTCTAATATTTGTAAAGAGAGAACTTTTTGGCCGCTTAAACAGTTTAGGGCTATAATTTTGAAATGTTAACACGTTTTCATTGCAATAACAAGGGATTCTTCTCTGTTTTTCAATGTTAAAGGTGGATCAGTGTTCAATTTCCTTTTTCACCAATCCTTAGAACTTAAAAAGCACCTTGGGCAAATTCTCAAATTCCTTCTGCATACCTATAGAGCAGAAGTTTAGGGAACAGGTGAAAAACTGGAGCAGTCAAGAAGCATGCATTCCAAACTCTTTCACCTTTGTTCTAAAAAGATTAAATTTACAAAGCTTGCAGTGTTTTTCAGCTTTAAACCAGAGCAACAATACTCTAATCTATTTCCCACATTTCATGTTGATTCCATGTTGAACATGTAAACCGTTTGTGTAGAGGCAGGTTTTGTATAGGATACCAGAATCCAAATCAGTCTTACATTTATGAATTGATGGTTCCTTAGTTTTAGCGCGTGTTCAAATTCTGCAGCGCTGCAGAAGATTGTGGCAGAGTTAGTAGAAGGCCTTTTTACTTGAAACCTTCTGAAAGAATCAGGCAGGCAATGCAGCTGAACAAGGATCTATGATTCAGGTGGGAAGGATGAGGAAAGCAACTGATTGGACTTTAATTTGTTGCAGCCTGTATTGCTGTTGTTGTGCCAGGGCTAACGATGGGTGTGAAGCTGCATCCTGGTCTTGGTGTAAATTGGTATGGTGTACTGGGAATCAGATGTCCTGGAAGTGCTATGTTGCATTGTGTTCTGACTCTGAGCTTATGTAGTAACTTTTTAAAGAAAAAGGACCAAACCAAAATCCTGTATTTGAGCACACACCTGGTCTTCAGAGATTAAAAGCCCACAAATGAAAATAACTGCAACCTACTGACCAAGATGTGCGTTGTGGCTTTGATTTTCAGGTAAGCATAATTGCTTTGAGGTTGGATTTCTGGTGTTGGATTAAATATCTAGGGTCTAGAAAGACAATACGTAGAATGACAGAATGTTGTGAATGCCTAAGTTCTATAAAAAGTACAATTAAAAGTCAGGTATCCTCAGATCTCTTTATTTAGATGATGGTGAATTAGAAGCATGGCTTTATGGCTGATTTTGGTATGTGACTTGGTGAAAGAAATGCCAGTAGCATTAAGCTTCAAAAGTTGTGTGCCTGCATTATTGATTGACTTCTCTTGCAATAAAGCAATAGTGTGGCTCTAGTAGGCGTTGCAGACACGTCCATGTGGGTGTCTGTTCAGAGCTGGAGCTTACCAGGCTCTAAGTACCACTGTCTTTGCTAGGGTTGGAGCATGCCTGCTCCCTTACTATGAAAGGGGAAAATTATATTCCCCAAATTATCAGCTTTTTACCCTTAGCTGTTCAAATAATTCTTTATTCTTCCCAGAAATATTCTGCTTTGCATGCTAAACGTGTGCTGAGAATTTCCTTGATGATTAAGCACAGTTATAAATAAAGTGAACGGAGAAGAGAGTGTCATCCAAAAAAAGGGTAAAATTGGCCCTAAAAGAGTCATTGTTAGCATGATCCAATAAATTTTATATATATATAAAAAAATATTCACAAGGAAATAATTAAGAAAATGTTCCAAAATTCCAGGTGTTGTAAATAAAGCTTGGAACAACCTGCTGGCAGGGCCCATTAACTCAATCAGCTTCTTTTTATATGGAGAAATCTCTTAAGTTCACAAGCCCATAAAAGATTAACTGGAGTCAAAAGAAAAATCCTCAAGAAAAGAATGAAATACTTAAACATGCTATTTTAGGTTCTGAATATCTTCAATTTTTTTCTTCACTGAATGCTTTCAGTGTTGTAAAAAATGATTGAATCAGCTGTTGCATATGTAAATATTGGCAGTTTTCAGTGCAAACTGGAAAGAAAAATGCTGTAAGTTTGTGAGTGCTCTTATTTGTCCCTGGAGAAACTTGTTTACCAGAATCTGAAAGTCTGGCGAATGGTTTGGTACAGCTGTAAATTGATTTTGGGGGGATTGGGAGGGGGAGCAGGAGCAAGCTGAATGTATTTGAAACTACAGTTTTACTGGGACATTTCTCACTCTATTTAGCGATGAATTTTGCAGGGAGAGCAGAAATATATAATTCTGCATGCATTGCACCATGCATCTTATAGCTTTCATGTTCCTGCATATCGTATATTATTTCCAGACAGAATCTGGTCTTTTGCGTAGACTCCATATTTTGTACAGACAATATTCACAAATTGTAAAAATCTCTCGCTCACTTTCAGAGCCCACAGAAACAGCATATGAGTGTGGCATCAGTGTGGAATGATACGGAATAATCACTTTAAATATTATATCAAGTGTTATGATGCTTGAGTATCTAGTTACATGAAGAGAGCAATAAATATTGGATACACATTTTTAAGCTTTAGAAAATTTCTCCCCATCTTGGGGGAAGGAGTTTTCCCTTAAATTACTTCATTGCTAAGACCTACTTTTCCAAGTTGAACCTTTACTCGGTCCCACTCTTTGTATTTTATAGTAGAAAATGTATTGGCCTTCTATGCGGGTTTTGGGCACCTGACAGCAATACCTCTTGATTCTTTATGAGATCTAATTGCTGTCCCATTAGGCAAGCCTTCCAAAGTGGTGATTTTAAAGCTGGCTTTATTTTTGTTTTGATTCCAAAACAATGATCTCAAACTCCTAAGGGTCTTTCCTTGGTCTTTGTTAAACCAGCAATTTGTATTTCATTTTATATGGTTTTATACACTAGTGATTTACTTGTGTGAAATTTGTCCAATTTTCTTACCCAGATGAAACAAGTCAGCTTAAAGGCATGTTCTCCTGTCATACGCCATGCTTCATTTATTTGTAAATTCTATTGCTTCTATTGTTCTAGTTTTCATATTTTCTTATGAAACAAAATAAAATGAGCCCCACCTTTCTTGTCCAGATCTACCTTTAAGAAAAAAGTCAGATAGTTATTGTTGGTTTTAAGTAGAAATGGCCATGCTCCAGTACACAAAAGTAATGAATCGTAGTACGGTTTAGTAGAAACTTGCTCAAAAATTTTTGTTTCTTTATGTCACTTTTTTTTTTTAGTGCTTTGTATGTATGGCTCAGGTAACCTTCTGTTCCTTGTCAACAGTTTATTAACTGGGTACATATGAAATCTTAAAATAGAGGTTTTGATTCTTAACATAGTTGAAATTGATGGAAAAAGACATTCCAAAATGGAAGTAATGTAATTTTAAGGATAATTTGCTTGATGTGTGGAAAAAGACTCCCTTCCCTCCGCCCCCCTCAGGTTGTGTATTCCTTTTTCATAATGGCATCTTTGGGGATGAAGTTCTTCTGTTATGTGTAAGCATTCAAACTCAAATTCCCTTCTAATAGGAAATGCATTGCAGTTGGTGGGAAAAACAGTAATTTATCGTTCTATCTCTTGAGAAGCAATATTACTAAATCACAAATATCTTGAAAATCTGGTTTTCCCGTATAAAAAAAAAGGTGCTGGATGCCCTTTGTATAAACAGATGTTTTATAACATTGTCTATTACCTGGTTTACTTGAAAACCTATTCATTTGCCAAAGCGTTTGGTTTCCAGTAACATTTTACAAATGACTCCTTTTCTTGCGCTCTTGTTTCTGGGAACAACCAGTGGTAAGTCTGCCCCATAGCTTACTGGTAAAAGGAAGAAGAAGCAGTTTCCATTAAAAACTAAGCCTGTATTTATGTAAGTAGTTTTTAGAGCCTTAGCTTGGATTTATGCCAAGGTTTAATAGTTCCAATCTATTCTGGCTTGTAAGAACTTCCTGAACAAATCCACTGTCCTGTTTTGGTGTCTATTCAGTTAATTATCCAAGTGTTCTGATATGCACAGACATTACATTTTCTTGTTTTATATTTGAATGATGAGTGCCCAAATGAAAGATTGTTATTTATTCTACCAGTGTCTTTGAGTCAACTGATAGATACATTTTCTTATTTTCTGAAACGGTCTAACCAGAGTTTGAAAGTCATAAACTACGTTCAGAAGCAATTCCCAGAAATCCAGGGACAGAATATTTTTAAGCTTCCTATTAACCCTCTGAAGGTAATTTTACTAAGCATTGTTGAATAAAGGAGAGGAGAGCTTCCTTCTGCTCTCAGTTTCGCTTTTCGTCTAACAGGAGTGTGCTGAAGATTTGTTTTGGAATTAAGTTCTTTCCAAACTTTCGCATTTCTAAGCAAGCAAAAGCATGTAGGCCTATAATCTGTTAGAGAGACATCTCAACTTGATCTATCTGGTTTTTCTTCTGTGATCATTATGCTGTGCTATTGTACTCAGAGTTTTCAGCGTATTAAATTTTCAGTAATGACTGGTATGACTATACAGAATGCATTCTGATTGATTTTTAGGGTGCACCATACATAAAACCCAGCTACTAGCTTTGTAGGAGCTGAGATATGCACGAGGTCAAGACAGAAATGTACTTTAGAATGCAGAACAAGTGTTTAGCCGTCCAGTTGTGCTGGAATTTACAATCCAATAGATGTCAAAGGAGATCTACTACTTTCAAAATTTGCTGTTGAAGGAAAAAGGTAGAAGTTTTGGAGAGCCAGAGGGAGTAATATAATTGATGTGATACGTGAAAGCCCCAAAGTGATCTCTGGGGATTTACCTGTTTTA